TCTCCGTAGCGTGGCGCTACGGACGGCGGGTAAGTAGTTCGGCTGCCCGATGATGTTTTACGTATTATAGGAGTTATTTTTACCGTTGTTTACGGATAATGCCACAATTTTTATAGGAATCATAACTATAGGAAACGGTTTTATAGGGGGATCTACTGTATACATTTTCTGTATTTTCCAGTTGAATTTAAATGGTATTAATAGTACAAAAAGATTTAGAATTCCACAACAAAAAGTTGTATTTTATTGTAGTACTGTATTAATACTGTACAAAATTAATAAATCAGTGTTTGACATGGCCTATTAAAACAGCAGATCTATACTGTACTTACACACAATACAGAAATAAGTCATTCATGGTGTTGGATCTATATAATCCAGATCTGTTTTACTGCTTGCTTCTGCATTATTTCAATTATTTGGCTAAGCTGAACAGGGCTCTGTCCCAATTAGTTCGGACTAGCAGGACTCTACTGCACTTTTTGTGAGAAACTTATCCAGATATACAGAAAATGTAAACATAATTTCTCCAGTACTTTGACCAATAATCTTTGGCAAATACTAACAATGGATTTTACTTGTCTTATAAGACTATCAAAAATTATATGTAGATTTGCTTTTTGACAGTAAAAAGATTGATATACTACAAATATTGAATTTACTACAATAATTATAGTAAATGTTTATATTCATATAATATATGAATTTGAAAGTGAGTACAATTTTAACTTAGTTACAAACTCATCAAGCAACTTTCCTTTATCTAAAATCACCAGAACATCTTTAGAAAATGTAAAGTATTTTTTGTACTCCAGACATGTGCCTTCATGATTTTTCTTGAAACTGCCAAAGATATGTAGCCTATACTTTGAGTTCTCTCCTGTTTGTGTGTCAATGCTTGCTTTAATTAATATTTATTATACTTTTAAAAAGTAATTTTTCCTATCTATATAACTCTTAAATCTTTATAAATAGTTTTCTATTTAGAAACTGAGCAATCAGTTTTTAAATCTGTGTCAGTGGACATCATTTACATTAAAAATTTTCCGTTTATTTTTTGTTTAGTTTATAATGATAAATGCTAAAATATTGTGTTCGTGAAGTGTATTCTTATACAGAATGCCTAGTGTAATGATGAACCAAAGTCTTTCATAAAAGCTCAATGTATTAATAATAATAACCTACTAAAATGGTTAATGGTATTTTTATTATCTCTGCACAAAATTGCTCTGATTTTGACTCTACAGCCATGTTCTTAATTGAGTTTTTGTTCAAATGTTAATTTTAATATAATTTTATAAAGGTTAGCTCAGGAGTTTGGCTCAGTAAGTGGAGTATGGATAAACCTCTTCCAAATGGTCAACAAGATATCTCACTTAGAAATATGAGATTAACAGTTTTTGCTATGTTGGTATTAGGGCAAGGTAAGAAAAATTTATTTTCATTTTTGTTTTTTGCAAAACAATGAACTATTTCACCCTTGTAAATAAAAGGGAAATTTTGTTTTTTATGGTATTGTTGTATCCTATATGAAGCCTTTGTAGAAACATTTGTATTTTGATATGCAGTGTTGTTGAATTTTGTATTCTCTTCTCTCAAATTTTTAGGAAATATTATTTTTATTTATATAATTTCCTACAAATCTGTTCCATCATATTTTATAGAAAAATTTGAGAAAGTCCACAAATTTCTTTTGAATGATAATAAAGGTTTATTTTAGAAAATGAATTTGTAACATTGCCTCCAGACCAATCCATCACCTAAAACACTGCAACACAACTTTCATTTTGGAAATAAATTAATAAAACAATTTTATTATTAAGAACACGTTATCTATATAATGATGTCTAACAGACTAAAATTGGTTGTAGTGGTATTATCATTTAATTGGTGTTTCTTCACCCAAATACCAATAATTTAGTTTATTGCTTCTGATATAAAATCTATAATGCATAAATACATTGAAAGTATTTAAAATAAGTAAAAAGTTTTATTTATTTGCATCTGCTAAGTAATACTTTGTAGCATGGGATTACTACCTCCCAAAATAACAATTAATTTGCCCCATAAATACATAAGTAACAAAATGAAAAAAAAGATAAAATGAATGCACTTTTTTGAAAAAATTACTACCAAGATGCATGTATGATGACTGAACATATAATAATAATGTTTAACTAATCAAATACTATATTGCTTAATGCCAATACTGTACAAGCTACTGAACTTTGATTATTGATTTTGATTATTTACAAAGTATTGGAATGGTGATGGCATTTAGGCAACATAAACCCCTCCTTTTTCAAGCTCTCTGCTAGTACTGCATATTAGCATCCAGTTGAAAATAGCTGTGGATGAAATACATATAAATTTTTAATAATATTTAAAAAATAGAAAAAAACACTATAAATGTCTCCATTACTTCCTTTCATATACCTCAGGGAAAAAACTCTTTTTTTTTTGGTGAAGTCTACTTTTTATTAGAAGCTATTAATAATAGGTCAGCTTCACTGGGAAAAAATAGTTTTGTTTCTGAGGTGTGTGAAAGTACATAATGATGATACAGTAGAGCCTCGAAAACTCGGCCTAATGTGGACTGAAGGGTAGCCGAGTTTGTGAAAATGCCAGGTTATTGGGNCTTTTTTTATTTGTACATAAAGAAATATAGTTTAGACATATCTAAAATCTTAATTTATATAATTATATAAGAATATCTACAAAAAGTTTTGCCAAACATTCCATTAGTTACCTGTATGAAAACCAAAAGAGTATCATTTAATTAAATTTTATAACTAGTTACTTCATGTTTATTGTTTGTTTGTATTGTTTGTTTGTATGTTTATTGTTGAAGTAAACTAATGATGGAACAGAGCGTCAACTAGACGAACACACATGCGTCTCATGTAACACCTAATTGTTTCTAGAATTTCCTTTAACGGTTCACTCTGTCCCATCAGTAATTCATTTTCACACCTGAGGAAGAACTCACAGTAGTTCGAAAACGTTTGTGGTGATCTTTATCGTTTGTTTTTATATCACACCAGTTATAGGTTCTTAGAGTGCAGTAATTAGTTTTATTTTGTAAAAAAATAAAAATATAATTAAATATTGAAAATGAAATAAAGATTAAAACAAAACTAAATACAGTAGACCCCCCTATAACGCTTAGATACGTTCCACGCTAACCGAAAATTACGTTGTAGGAACGATTAAATACATGAGCCAATCGCAGCCCGATAGGTGGGAACTTTACGGACTAAGGCTGTTTGAAAGGTTTTCTTCTATAAAATTAACCGATTCTAGACTAATTCCACTCAACATTTCCAAAATACGTATAATTTTTTGGGAATAATCTGTATAAACTATGCTATAAACAAAAAATTATAGGATTACTTAC